AATTTTTTTTTTTTTTTTTTTTTTTTTTTTTTTAGGATGCACCTGTAATATTTGAACTTAGTCATTTGTAAAGGACTACTTTAACATAAAAAATGTTTCTCTATTTTCAGGATATTTATTGGGAAGCGCCTAACTTCCCACAACACCTACTGAGCGAGGTGCCGATGCGTTTAGGGACGGCGCGGTACGACCCGCTTGGCATGCCTTATTAAATTGGGACCTGTGCCATGTGACCTGTGATTCTGACTGATTGCCCGACGCCAGCATGAAGAGCTGAGGATCTCTCACTGCTGTGTTGTTGAATGCACCACAACCAATCGCCCTGTCCATGATGTGTTCACTGCTAACTGAGATGATCGTTTTGCTGCTTACCGCTCCTTGCACATGCATGTTATGGGACAAATATATATTATATATATATATATATATAAATAATATAAATCACTTCTTTTTTATTTAAATAAAATCTGATTTCATTTATTGTGACGTGCTGAATTTGCTATTCTTCTTAGATCAGCCTTGTGACAAAAATTAGTAGGAAAATCGTTAGCTCAGTGTTGATAATCAGAAACAGCTAAGTGTAATAATAATAAAATATGTTAGAATTTTAAGGAAATTGGAAGTACATTTAATAAATAAATCAGCAAGTGTCTTTGTTATTCCCAATAATCTAACATATAGATAATTAAATGTTACACAGGTTATATGACAAAACCAAATCTGTTTGATAGATTTCGTTTTGCAGTGCACTGTGAAATAACAGTCCAGGTTTGGATTCACACAGGAAATGTGACCGAAGTTCTAGATGCGTCTGTGTATGTCGTTTCTTCCATCCCTGACTCCAGGTGAAGTGAGCGAATTGTTAATCTCCAAATTCCTCAATAGGCTTTGATTCATAATTCTCTAAAGGCTGCAGTTATTTTTCTCTCACTTTTTCCCACCACTAAACTTTCCCACATATATGCTTGGACTCAACACTCTTGTCCAATGAGCAGGTAGAGACCCACATCAGTGACTCTTAATGGCTCAGAACCAGTGAAAATAATTACTGATAATTATGTTGTTTGGAGAGTAAAATGCAGCTTTAAATATACATTTCTTTTATCAATATTTCATGTCTTGCATATTTAATGCTACATTTGCTTTTAAATGTGTTAGGATCTACTGAATTGTGCAACGTTTGGACCCCTGCAGTGTGGAGGCTTGTATTAAGCATTAATGTGCCTGACGGACTTCCAACTCTTTACCACGCATAACAAAAAAGAAAAGGAAAACATGCAGATGAACACAATTAAAATTTTATTGAACTTTGGTCAAAATAATAAACAAGTGAATACATTGCCACCATGTTAGGAATCAATGGACAAAGACAATGCATTATTATGTGTTTGTAACGTCATCAGTATACGTTTTGTGTCGTCAACCTTCATGTCTGCATTCACAACTACAAAGATCCACGTTTGCAGTATGTGGTTCAGATCTGGGTGGCATCCCTAATCAAATGGAAAAAAAAAAAAAAAAAAAGGAAAAACAAACCAAACAAAAAAAAAAAGGGCACATGTATGAGGCCTGTCTTTGTTTTCTACTTATTACAAGATTTGGAGGCACTCTATCACATAAACTGTATGTATGGTGTGCAATTTTCCTCCTTTGTGTGTTTTCATAGACAGCCACGTGTAGCAGCAGTGTATGAGGACAAAACTCTATAAAATAGGATTTACAAATAATGCACATGAGGTTCGTATAACGCTCGGGGACGCAACTCGTAGCTGTCACTGGTTGAAGTAGGTATTAAGGCTGCAGATTCCCTTTGTCCTGGACTCTATTTTGTGCCATTCAGTTTCCAGTCTGCATCCTAAAACAGTGTCAAAAAGTAGGACTTTAATCTCTTCACGCAGACATTTTCTGACAGTAATTTCCAAACCGATTGCCCCAAATATAGTTTTTTTTCCTCGACAAGTTTGACGTAGATCTGCTTGAGAAAGAAAAAGAAAAAAAAAAAAAAACAGTGGCGTGACTGGACATTTCTCCACCTCTCTACAACATAAAAACATGCAAAGCAATAAACATGTTTTAATACCTTACTTCTAAATTTAAAAACACATCTGTAGTTTTAGTTTCTTTTATTATGTCGATGACAAGGTGTACTTGAGTAGATACAGTCAGTGAATTTTACGTTGCTGTATTGACTGGGGGATAAAAAGAAGAGAACGGGGGGAGGGGGAAGGGAGGAAATGAAACAAGTCCGCTTTTCAAATTCATGGGCCTTTTTCCAGCAGTAATTTGGCCTGAATACGAGACCAATGGGGGAATGTTACAGTTAGGCCTACCGGCCTATTCACCCGTGCTTCTCAGGGCCCAAAAATCTCTGAAAGATGAATACAACCTTGACAAGACGTCATTTTAAGGACTTCCGAGAGTTCTGTCGTTAAATCGTGAAATGAAGGCTTAAAATGTCAACACAAATAGCAATGTTCAAGGGTTTGACCTCTAGGAAGTGCCATTCCATCAATTAGACCCGAATTGGGCTTTCTGGGTCAGGGGAGGGGCGTGCTGATTGCCCTGGTGCCAAAGGCAAAAAACAACCTAAGCTCAGACTCGAAAATAAAACAGGCCTATGGATCAACCTCCTGTGGCAAAAAAAAGTAGACACGTGCTTTCAATTTCTTCACCAGGAGGAACAACAAGGCTGTTTCTTCTTATACAGATAGACAAGTAGTAGGCTTAACTACACAGGTATGGTAAAAGCCCTATCCTCTGGAGCCCCAAATATTTTTTTTTTTTTTTTGTTTTTAGTTGATTTTGTCCTGGAAAATGTACAAGTTGTTGGTGGCTGCCACAGCTATCACGTTATCTTTGGGGTGCCAGGCAGTGTGGAGGATCTTCTTGTTGAAGTCCAGGCTGTCCACGCTGATCTCGTCCTTCTTCCTCTTGCCGCCGGTGGACACTTTGCGGGGTTTGAGCGTGGCCCGTGGTTTGCTGCTCTCCCGGGACGCCTCCAGTGTAATGTCCCGCCTGGTGTTGCGGTCAAACATTCGGAAGAAGTTGTTGTAGGAGCCGGACATGATGGCACTGGTGGAGGAAGTAGAAACGGATTATCCGCATTGATTGTCTCGCCGTAAAACGAAAGGAGGAAAAAAAAAAACAAAGCGATTTGTGGGTCGATGATGCTGAAAGATCTAAAGCGGCAGCCGGGGAACGATAACTGCTTGCAACAGGGAGGACGTTTGTTTACCTGTCACTGCCATTCCAGCAGCACTCAAACTTGTCGAAGATGCAGTCGTTTTCATACAAGGAGCAGAGCTTACTGCGAAGGTATTCGTGGACCTGAAACAAAGCATTTCAATAGACATGAATATTTGACTTAAGAAATACAATTGCTTTGAAAATCTTAAAAGTAGCGACACAAAACTTATTATAAATGCATAGCCCATGTCATTTCTAAACAAGCATTTATTGCTTTTGTCTGCAAAGGCAATAAATGGAGAGCAGTGAATTGCATGTTGTCATGCGGGAATAATTAAGCCCAGACCTCAAGAGCTACTCATCCTGCAGCTTTCAGACGCATCCGAATCTGATGAAGGAATTTAGGCATTTGATTTAAGTGTGCATCCAAAAGTCGCAGAATGTTAGTGCTCAAGGATTGGACCTGGGCACCAACGGCACCTGATAGTATTCCATCGTATGCCAATGTCATTGTAGCGAACTATAGCAAACACACATGACTTTCATAGTACATAGAACTTATGTTAGGCAACATTTTGATGCATTGTAGCTCAATACATTCAATGAGCAGAGCTGAAAGTGGCTAACATGCACTTGTTAGCATATTAGCCAAAGACAGCGAATATGTACTGCTTTTAGCCCAACAAACAGGGTTAGCTAACATAACCCGACATACTATTAATAGCTTGTTAGCTTACACTAGCATTTTAGCTAACAAGGACGGAGTACCCAACTTTAGTGAAACATTGTGTTAGATATCGATAGAAACATGCTAGTGTTAGCATGTTTGATATTTTTTTTTTTGGAGTACTTTTACTCTAGATTCCCAAAGTTTATACATTTTAGGGATAACATGACTGTCCCCGTAAAACACTAGCATTTCTTCAAGACTTTTCTAGCTTAATGTTACTTTGATTATTTGTATCTCAATGGAGCTTTCATCAAACACATTTCTCTAATTTAAAAAAAAAAATTTAAATAAATAAAAAACACAAAAATAACTCTAAATTTGGCGGTTATTTACCGTTACTCAATGTTGTTGAAATGATAGCTATAAGTCATAATAGTCTTAGTGGATTTACATTTCATATATTTGTACTAAGTGCAGAGAGATGCACCTAAAATAGTTGTTTTGAACCCCTGCAGATGTAGATCTACGCACCTGATACGTCTCCACTGGTCTGTTCTCCATGTTGAGGTCCCAAACCTTGACGGAGAGGTAGTCACGTGTCATCATATAGCGTCCGCTGTGACTGAACTTCACGTCTGAGATGGAGGAGATGATCTCTGAGAAAAAGGATCGGCTGCTTGGATCCTCCGGTTCCTCAAAGACTGAAAATACACACACACACACACACACATTAAAAGAAAAAATGAGAATGGTTCCCAAAACTACATTTACAAAGAGCAAGTGAGGTAATCCTACTATCCTCTATTGAGCCATAAACTTACACTTAGAGTGCCTATCGCAGAGTGCCGCTGCTCGCATGTCACACAGGCGGATGGTGCCTTTGCTACTGCTGTACACAAATACATTGCATTGGTGTGGATGGCACTCAGCAGCTGTGATTACTTCCGTCAGTTCTTCCATATTGGCGGGCTTGATGTCTACAATATCTGGGAGAGCAGCGTTAAAGGAACAAACCGCCTTCTCTTTTAGAAGAATACAGACTCCAAACTACGAGGCATGCGTCTGATATGATCAAGAAAAGGATACTAAAACTTCTGTCTGTGATTTCCAAGTGCCATAGATTTATTCTTAGGTCATCTGCAGAGAGGTAAGTTTCATGGTCACTATTTACAGAAATGGAATTAATGTGATAGGTGTGCGCATTTGCAAAGATCCTCCGTGGGCTTGCTTCTACCATGAGATCCATTGGCATCAGAACTGGTACCTAAAAGAAAACAATCGCAGAACAATCGCTTGTTATTAATTTAAAAAATTTTATAAACACCCCCCGGGAAAAAAAAAAAAAAAAAAAAAAAAAAGGCAGGTTTGAACTGTTGTCGCACATACCCGTAAAGAGGTGATTCTAAAAGGATCTCTGAGTCGCCCATCTTCATCTTTTAGGTTGTAACCCTCTGCCCGTTTATCTCTTTCGCTTATTTTCCACAATTTGATAGTTTTATCTGCCAGAAGTTAAAGACGTCGTCAGTTTTGAAAACCAGGCGTGGGCATGAAGTCTAAAACAAAGTCATGGCCTCTTACCGTTTGTTGAAAGTAGAAAGTGAGCAGCATTTTGTTGGGGTAGCCATCTTATTTTATTAATTTTTTCCTCAATTTCTAAACTTTTCAAATAGTCGAATTCTGGCTCATGACTCTGAAAAGTGCTATAGACGTTGTATTCCCCACGCAGGTGTGGACGATTCTTAGACTGAGGAGAACAATAAATAAGAGCACACAAAAAAAAAAAAAACATGAGTCACCAGGTTTAAATCCTTTCACTGCAACAGAGGAGGGAGGGGGGATGGCACAGCAAATCATCCCTTACTGTACTCAACAAATCTTACCTCTTGTTCATGTTGAAAAATCACTACTCGCCCTCCCTTGTCTCCAGTTGCAAGTAAATCTCCAGAATAGTTGAACTCAACAGTTGAGATTATGTCAGCTGAAAGAAAAAAACAAACAAAAAAAAAAAAAAACATATTGGGTGACTGCGACTTCACCCAACATTGCCCTTTTGACAAAATTTAATATGACAGTTAATTTTAAGATATCCATAAAATTATTCTGACTTCTCACACCCACAGTCATACGAATCTAAAATGATTTCAAATGTCGTCAAGAGGTGCGAAATTGAGCGTGAGGTCGCTATAGCGCTACGCGGTTCTCTGGAGCGTTTCAAAAGTATCATCTTGAGGAGGAAGAACAATACTGATGTGAACACAGCAACAGATTTCCAGATTTCTTGGAGGCAGCGAGTCAAAAAAATAATAATAATAATCACTTGGTTTATGCTGTCTACTTGCTGGTCTAACACCAACATTTTTGCAGCAGCATTAATAAGAATACATTGTATTGCAGTATATTTGTATGTTGACCATTATACTTGCTGAAGCATCACCAACATATTGGCCAGAATATGAATCAGACATTTTTTCCTTGATTGGCATGAACTTTTTATTTATGTGTATCAAAACTTAAGAACTATAAAAAAAATAAAAAATCAGTCTAAAAAGAATCAACCAACAGCAACAACTTTGATCAACTTCTTTATTTTAATATATGAAAAAAAAAACACAAAAATAACTAAGGAACAAATGGGAATAGTTTAGCAATTGCTTAACTGGGTTTGTTACATTTTAAAACTGAAACCTTTAGCACTTTTTTTTTTTTTTTTTACTTTTAAAATGTAATTGGGAGAAAATAACCTGATTGGCAGGTCAGAAATTAAACACAACTGACAATCAGCTTTGGCCTAGAAAAGATTGATTGATACATATATAAACATCCCTTCTATGCATGTCGACAGCAATAAGCAGTACGTTAGAAATAAGCTCTATGGATCTGGGACTCAAAGGTTGCACACTGGATTTCTGTCATTCACTATTTTACTGTTTTTTTGGATCTTTATTGCCCTCGATAGATTCTACCTCAAAATCTGCAAACTTCAACTCTGTCAAATCTGTGCAGGATTACCTTGATCGATGATTACGGTCAATAAAACTTTGGTTTGTTTAAATTTAGAAAAGTGTCCGTTTTCAAGTATTTTTTTTTTCATACCAAGGACTGACCCAAGATTAGCAACATACTTTTTTTTAAAGGAATGTGGACTACTCCTTTTTGTACATTTAAGAAGCATTAAGTGTTATTTATTTAAAATAAAGTCTGCAGCTGCTGTTCATGCTCCAGTGGATTAACTTTTGAATATGCTAGTCATGGCTGCACTGTCCCATAAAAAGGACATTTTATTTGCTATTGTAGATTGTTGTTTTGAAAATTAACAAAAGGTAAATGTGTGCAATATACACAAAATAGCAATTATTACTTGTTGGATATAAATGATTGCTGTATATGGCATGATATCGAGCTTATATTCAAAGATTTAGTCTTATGATAATTAAGCACAACACAAGTAGAATTTACAAATCAGCCAAATAGTCTGTTAACACTTTCCTCGTTTCCCGAAACTAACAAAAAATAAACTGATTTGATACATCAGCACAAATAAATCAGCTTGTGCGAGGTCCAGAGATTCCAACAAAAATTAGAAATACTCTATTTTAGGATGCAACAGTGTTTCATTTGAACAAGAATGCATCTTTTTCATAAAGCAGGATTTTGTTGTTTTTTTTTGCTGTTTTTACACCATTTTAAAATTGTGTAAATATAATTTGCTACCAACAGATGTCACCTATAGTAGGGCTGTAGGATAATATCGATATCGCGATATATATCGATATTTTCTTTCCTAGAAAAAAATCGATATTCATCCGCAAGTATCGTAACATCCAACTGTCATCTTGCTGACTCACTGCTTGCTTCGCCGGGAGAGTGATTAGGTCATGAGGCTTAGAGTGATTCATTCAGATGTTAAGTGTCAAGGTTAAAAAGGTATCAAACTATTCAGAGCAGGGTACTTGGTGCACTTTATTTACTTTACAAATGCATGTAAGCTACAGTTTGTACTGTTTCAATTAAAAGAAACATGTTTTCTCACCACTTCTTTGATTCTTTTTGTCCAGCTGTCGACTTTGTCTGTGTCCATGTCCAACCAGAGCCAGGTTGGTGTTTTAATCAGTTTTCAGTTAAATTAATTCAATCCAACTCTATATCACCAAAATCACTCTGTCCCTCTAAAATCTTTCAGAAAATCGCAAAAGTGTATTGAATTGTATCGTTTGATGAATATCGCAATATATATATATATCATATCGTGGACAGAATATCGTGTATCGTATCATATCGTAAGATTACTGTATCACTACAGCCCTAACCTATAGGCTGAATAATAAAGGACTATTTACAAGCCAATTAACTAATATTTATTGTGACCATTAAAAAGGCTGAAAGTTGATCAAATATCGTAAATAACCACAAGTGTTTTTATTACAGCAAATCTGAATGCGTTTTATTTTGCCTGTAATTTTGACATGTGTTTAACTCCTTAAACATTGTATAGCAATCTTTTATTTATTTTTTTTAATAAACATTGCTGTTTACTTTTGGTCACAACCTTCAGCAAATTTCAGTATAAACTGAGGAGCACAGAATTTCAGCTTTTAAAGCTGCTGTAGCAGTTCTCATTTTTAACACGCATGATTTCAACACTTTAAAGTTGTGGGTTTGACAAACAGGTCTTATAACACACATTTTGCTAAAACGTCTAGCTTAATATTCTTTTAATAATGCCAGATGTCAAAAACGCGGTGAACTAGCCCTTTACCCTGCACCAAGATCAAAGGCCAACTTCGACATCAATGAGAAAATTCAGGAAAGCAGAAGACAATTAGATGATTTCTTGTTTGAAAATGTTCCATTACTCATACAACGGCGAAAGGCTCCATTAGAAATTTGCATAAGCTTGTAAAATAGCATTTCCTTGAATGACTAAGTATGTATACAGAGGGTGTCACTGAGGGAGTAACAGTATTGTCTCGTTGCTAGTGAATACCTGAAATGTCATTCTACCGACAATGAGGAAGTACACTTCAGGTACAGGCAGTGCAGACAAGTACCGAAAAAGGGAACGACGGGCCATATTTCAGCGACTGACAGCTAAATACGCACAGCGACTCTTCATGTATGAATGAAAACAAGCCATGATGTCACGCCAGCAGCACACTGACATTTAGCTCCCACCTAGCTTACAGCTAGTTAGCGAAAACAGCAATTCACAGGGTAAGGGCGTTCCCACACAAAACGGGAGAACCGACTTTTAAAATAAATCATGCTTGCATCTGTGGCTACGTGTCGAGAATTTCCCTTCAAGCCCACAGAGCGCCATCCCCACGGTATCCGAGTAGCAGCTTTAGCTTAGCTGCCGAGCTAACGCTAGCTACATACCTTCCGCAACATCTTCATCTATCGCTCCTTTCACTTGGGAGAAACACCACTGGAAATCATTTCCTCCTGCAACTCCTGCGAAAAGAACGATGGCGTTAGTTTGGGTTAGACTGTCTCCTTATTTTAGTTTTTCAACTGGTGATGAGATGACCTGACAGGGACACAGTTTGACAACTTAGCTCGCTAGCGCTAACGTTGGTTCAGATTCAGGCCACACCGAGAGAGAGGTGGATCCTTTTTCCTCCCTTCAAAAGTAGCTTACCCGCCATTGCTTCATTTAGCAGCTTTTGTTGCACACAGTATCCGATACCCGATCAACCCAACGCGGCTCGCTCGCTCCGGGAAACGGATAGCATCCACAATCAGTGAGAAGACTCGGGTCCAGATCTGTCAAGACCACGGAAATTATCCGTGATTTTTTTTTCTTCCAAAATGGCGCACGGTACATGGAGAAACGACGTCATGCACACATGCCACATCCTGGCTCCATCCATCCTCCCGTGCATCCCTTGCTAACGCCTTACATCTCCCCTCTTTCTTCCATTTATCCAACTTTATTACACCAAACTAGATAATAAAACCTCCGCGTCTTGTTTTTAAGACACGTTTTCCGCTCTTTGGTGACTGAGTCAAACATTACATTCAGAGAACAGCTATGAAAATGATTTCTAAATTTAAAGTAAAGAAAATACATCTTAACGAGCTACCCGGCAGACTATTACATTTTTAGACCGCGTGTTCAACAGGCGGCATATTTTTTTATTTATATTTTAAATGCGAAGGATTAGAAATGCAAAAATATTCTTTTAAAACATATCATTAGTTTTGTTTTGTTTTTGAATTTTTGTGACATGATTACAATTTTAAAGTGAGATGTAATTTAAAAACGTGAAAGGATAGGGTACCAATAGTTCTATTTGACGGGCATTTAGTGACATCTGGTGGTGAAATGGTGGAAGTCCATGTTATTGAATAATCTGTCTATGGTCAAAAAGTGTTATAATAAAAAAAGCAACAAAAAAAAACATAAGCGATTAAATAAACATTCGAGATAAATGTTTAATGAATGCATGCACAATTATTTAAATATTTCAATGATGTATGAAATACATGGCTAAGTAATAAAACATGGTTAGTCCTCAATTACAATTCGAATTTGTTAAATGACTATGTTGTATACACATTCCAAACAACTGCTGACATTATCAGGTTTGGCTGTTCAAACAAGTTCACCTTGAAAACAGATCACTAGGTGCTAAAAGAAGTCTCCGAAAATATCTAAAGTGTTATTGCAGAACCTACAGGAAGAGTTTACAACCTTGTGAAACACACCAGAAAAACACCGCATAAGTTTTACTCCTGTGGAGATGTGCAAGGACGAAACCTTTGCTCTTAAAGGCCCATACATAATGCAGATAAAGACCAGGACTTCTGAAGTCAAGCTCGTTTGGCAGATAAGGCCAAAATTGTATTATGTACAACACCAGGGAAAAGCCAATTAAGTTGTCCTATTTTTTTTTTTCTCAAACTAGATACATTTTTATTTACACGGTTTGTTTTATCAATGAAATTATGGTTATGTTTTAACACACACCTATAAATAAATCACTATTTTTTTCCAGCGGGGAAAAAAAAAAATTAGAGATCAGTCCTTTTAAATTTCTCAATCAATAACCACAATTTGAACTATCCTTATTTTTTCAAATGGAGGAATTTGTGGGTGAAGAAAAAAAAAATAGAGCAAACAAAATTTCAAGCAACAACACATTTGCTTTTATTTCATCAGTCGATCATATCAATGTTTCAATGAAAGCATTATGTTTTTTAGATACACTCTATATTGGGCTGCAGTTTCCACTAAATGTATCTTGCAATATTAAGTATAGCATCACAGTGAAAGCTGTAATGCTCCACTTGTGAAAATAAATCTGTTGGCCTTCACCTTACAATTCTGAAACAGAAAGGTTCCGTATAAAAAGAGAAAAGAAAACCTATAATACTTTTCTTCCTTTCACTGAATGTTTTAAGATAGTTTCATTTAAATTTAACCCCAAAAATAAATAATAATAAAAAAAACAACAAAAGAAGAAAATGTGTATAAATTAATGCAAACGACTGAGTATCTTATGAGGCAGCCCATCATTTCAGCTGCATATTTGTTTATTCCACAAAATTGGCATATTTCTCACAAAACAAACAGAAACAACTTTTCGAATGCTCTTCGTCTCAACCGGAATTTATGCTGCGCACTTATTTATTTAGCGTGCTCAATCAAACCGGTGTAAGAATACACCGAGAAATAAACGTCGGAGCAGCAGAATTCATTTATAGTTTCATACTTGCGATGCTGTGTGAAGTGCTTTCTGTACAATGAGTGCTGTCATGAACTGGGAATAAAATGATTGCCCACTGGGATTGATAGTGCTATAAAAAAGTCACATTCCAAAAAAATATGAGGGGAAAAAGTCTCATGTAGCTTGGGAATGCTTGATATCTGGGCCACATTTGAGCAGATAAAGTAAGCACATTTGTTCCTTTGAGTGCACCAACTGATAGAAGCACCCTATTTAAGTGCATACTAATATATATATGTATTTTATTTTATTTATTTATTTTTTTTCTTTAAACTGAACTAGGTCCTCTTCTTTGTACATTTTCCTCTTAGTTATAAAATATCTCTGTGACTCGGAAAAACACTATTTCACAGTTAGTAACTGTGATCCATGAGCAAGATGTCTTACACAGAAACAGTACCTGTGACTTCTTTTGTTATACGTTTTCTTCATCTGCAGATTCTGCTGGAGGTGTCAAGACAATGGATAGGAGGAGTGCAGCCTAAAAGACCTGGACCAAACTTGACCAAAAATCTTCTCTCCAGTATCTCCCGAGCTATGCGCATCTTTCTCATCAATCACACGGCGTGTCCCGTGGGAAGGAGCCGAGCAGAGGCCTGGAGGTTAGGTACACTCACGCACAAACACACACACACACACACACACACACACACACACACACACACATCAACATACGCACAAACAACCAGTGAGAGAGGAAAAAAGGAGAAAGCTGACACAGATAACAACAGAAAAATTATGCATTAGGCATGTTAAAAACGGATAATTATGCCATATCTCTTCTTCTGCTTCACCTTTTGCACCAATCCCATTTGGTTATTGCAGATGTGGGAAGTTGAGAAAATTGATTAGAGGTGTACCCCAAGGCTCAGTTCTTGACCCACTCTTTCTAGTTTACATTGAGCTGATTTGAAAATAAGCAGCAGGAAAAAACAACAACAACAACAACAAAAAAAAAAAAAAAAACATGTGTCTGTGGTGTACCCCAAGGCTCAGTTGTTGGCTTAGTATTTTAGTTCATATTGAACTGATTTGAAAATAAGCAACACAAGCAAATTTATCTACTGATTGATGGAGGTTTCAAGATGGATGGTGATGATACAGTTTGGATGGAGATATTCAGGACATCGCCTGCATTGACATTTGGTATCCGTAGAGGCAGGGCTGGTAAATGTATACATTATGCTGGCTGTAAAAAAGAAAAAAAATCTTTTGTTTGCTTGATGTTTTACTTACATTAATTGTTAAATTGGAGTTTAATTGGTAACTTATGCTGCAAGTATTTGAAAAAATATATATTTTGGGTTTGAATTCGACATTTGACAAGAAGGTGAAGAAAACCTGCGAAAGCAATCTTCTACAGACTTGAATTGATCGGACAGCAGTTTCTAGTTTATGTTATAAATTACTATTATGACACTCTTGACATACTGGTTCAGTAACTCCAATGCAAACTGTAGGATTAGTTTATGCAGAGATTTTCTTGAATAAATATTCTCTTTAGGAGAGATCAACAAATGGATTTGTAGACCTGCAGGACTACTTCTGAACTCATACTGGGGTCATTTTAAAATAAAACTGAAATGATACGAAAAGACCAACTATATTGCTCACTATATTTTCTTCTTACTTTATTTATATCATGTTATATAATTAATTATAATGCTTACAGGCATGGCAAATCAGCTCAAGCTGAATAATGTCATGCAAAAGTACATTTGCCTTGAATTTTTCCAGATTTTTTTTTTCTTTTTTTCACTTTTGAACCACAAAATTAAATGTTTAATTAAAATTCGATGTGACAGACCAAATAAACAGTTGACCATTATTGTGAAGTTTTGGTTGTCAAATGTTGCGTGTTTATAATCAAACATAAATTTAACTGCATAGCCCCAAAATTAAATCTATTGCAACCATCTGCCGTCAGAAGCCAAAGTTAGGAAATAGAGCCCACCTTCCTTTTATTTATTCTGAGTGCAGTTGTTCTGAAAAGGCTCCGTTTGTTAGAGATCATTAGTGAACAAACAGAATCATGAAGACCAAGAAACACAGCAGATCAGCAACAAAGCTGAGGAGGATTTTAAGGCAGGGCTAGGTTATAAAGCAATATGTCAAGCTGTTCAATCTATTATCTGAAACTGGAAAGAGTATAGGATTATTGTAAAAAAAAAAAAAAAGCCAAAATGTGGATGTCCACCTAAACTGGATCACACAAGAAGAGCATTATGAGTGGTAACTCTGGGGGAGCTGCAAAGATCCACAGCTCTGTGATGATATATCTGTTTTTTGTTTTTTTGTTTTTTTGTTTTTTTTATGGAGGAGTAGAAAAAACAAAGTCAAAAGACCCCCAGTGTGCCGCTACGTAGGGAAGACAGCAAACATGTAGAAAACTTACATCTCCTAGAAAATGCTGCATATAATTGAAACCTAGTGTTCAAAGTATCATGCTGTGGGAACGGTTTACTTCAGTGGTGAAAGGGAAGCTTAAGCTAAAGAAGATTGGACGATTCTGGAAGAAACCCTGATAGAGTTCACAATTGACCATAAACATACAGCTGGAACTGCAATATCACAGTTTACATAAAAGCATATTAATATGTACTGTTTTCCTTCAACTCCACGGACTTTGTGTCGGTCAGT